TTAAATAAAGGACAAATAAAATTGGAAGAATTTTTTCCTCTTGCATGTGTTGAACTGCCATATGGTGTAAGCAAAGATTTGAAAGATGAAATATAAGATGCCATAGAAAGTGATACGACTTCTAAATTTGAAACTGAGGTCTAAGCAATCAGTAATTCAAATCTCTGCTATCACCCTTCCACAAAAGTCACAGTTCGGAGTATTGTTCTTTTTAAATCCAGGTCAGTTTCCTGATACAGCAGGTCAGCTTTATAGAAGAATTGTCAGCAGAACAGCAGGGTTGGTACACGGTGTTGCAGGTTTGAGAGGGATATATTTGGGATGAGTTAAATTTTCGTTTTGTAACAAATATTCTATAACTTAATAGCCTCAACAATATACATTATCACAAATGAGTAGAAAGAATAAACTGGGATCCTTTTGTACATGAACAAATCCATGATTGTCAACGCTGTATTTGTGCTCATTGAAGGTCATGCAAGTTATTTGAGATCCTGCCAGTAAGGAAGGCTTCCTTTCTATACAGAAAATAATTCAGACTAAACTTGCTGGAGAAACTGGGGGAATTTCACAATAGTTTGATAAGGCTTTCCTATGCCATTGTGCATCAGTTGCTAAAACTTAGTCATCTTATTTTAATATGTTGAATGAAAAGCTCTTATAAATGATTTTGTGTGAGTTGAAGGGGGGAGAGTGGTAGGTGGGTGTCCGGGTTCTCTTTCTGAGACTCAATTTCATACTGTACTTTGACTGCTTCTTTTCACTTGTAACCTGCTATCTACAAACCCTTAAATTATAGTTATTCGTGTTAAAAGTTTCATTCTACAAGGAGACTTGCTAAAAAATATCCCATCATGAATTTCAGTAAAAAGAACATAAGGAATTCCTTGCATCTTGAGCAGGTACACTTAAAAGGCTGTGGGATTTTTTAGGCGTTTACATACTTGTAGAGGTCGGAAATGCTGTGGTTGGGCACATTGTCTTGAGTTTGTAGTTCAGCAAATACTTGGGTAAGTTTTGTTTCAAATAGCAATTATTATTTCAGCACTTATGAAACTGTTATGAAAGGACTTATTTATTAGGAATAGTTCAAAGTATTTCCTTTAATCATGGTCTCAGGGTGAGTATATGTCTTGTAGCTTTAATGAATCAGATCTGTGTGCTTTTTGTTTCTTGAAGCTCTTTCAGAAGTACTGAAAAACACAGTTTTGTCTGCTCAGGAAGCAGAATGAGGTATCTTGCATAACCCTCTAGCTTAAAGACTGAGCAAAAGCCATGTTGACCGATTCGGGACTAATAGAACTCGGGACTAGGAGTTAGTAGCTACTGTAGCACAACTTCTAAAAAATTGAGAGTTAACAGGTTTTTTTGGTGTGCAGATGAGATCCTGCCAACATTGACTGCTAAGAGGTCTTAATGTGGTGACATTTTCATAGGTAACTCACCTGTAGGAAAAAGATAGTGAAGGTAGTTCAGAATAATATTAAATTGTAGTAACATTTTGCTTGTAAGTCTTCATTTATATTTAGCTTGTGAGAGTTGAAATGCACAGGAGAGAATCTGAAAAGCTAAGGTTTTTTTTTTGCCCTTAAGATGTATGTTTGAAAACAAAAGAAATGGTTGATACTACTTGTGCTTTTTGCTAAAATCTGACCATATGTTTTGGGGGGAGGGTTCATAGTTTCTTCCTCCTTCCCCCACCCCTCCTCTTCTTTTTTTTTCTTGACTAGCAGTACTGCAGAGCTCTCTGTATTGAGACGTCCCGACCGTTGTTGCCTGTAACCATCATGTAAAGTACACCTCCTAAAATACACTGGCAAACCAGATCACTCCAATCAGCAGAAGTTGCCTGATTACTGAAGCAGAGTTGAAGAGATGTAGCTGTGTATGCTGTAGAGACAATTCAAAAGCTTTAATGAGAGTAGGCAAGTTTTCGAACACAGTCTGATAAACTGCATGTTGATTTTTGACTGCTGTCTTGATCTATTTGAAGTTAATGGTTAGCTAATAAGGAAGTATTTCTTAGAGGTAATTGCTGCAACTAAGTTTTTCACAGTGTTCTCATGTCATCTTCCTTTTTCTGGTCATCACAGGAACGTTATGTAATAATGGTTCTTATTTACAGGGAAGGCAGTACTGTGTGTCAGTTCTTCCTTTGAAATGTGGCCTTTACCTGGTTTTGGGAAATGTCAGAAATGTCTCTTACTTGCTCTGTTCTCTTCTTGGTTTGTTTCCCTTTTTTCTTTTCTTTCTTTTCCCCTCTCCTCAACTGAGACTAATTGGCAAGTTCTGTATAAAATCTGTTGTGATAAAGATTAATCAATGTACATGAGTGCTTCTGGACAGAGTCTAATTTTACTAGATGAAAAGATCCAAGTATGTTTTAATAACATAGAGCCTCCTCCACGTAAATAGCATAGCTGTACCCATGCTTTACTGAAAATACTTTGACTGCTGAAGAATAGAGAGAAATCTTTGAGTGGTTAAAACTGCACATTCTTTAAGATAAAAATTAATCAATGATTGTTTGGGGTTTTTTGTTTTAATTTTCGTATCTGTTTATTATGAAAAGTGGTTGTGCACATTGTAAGCTAGTGCATGGAGCAATTGACGCAATTACTTGTGGTTATATACTTCAGATTTCAATATCTAGGATGTTATACCTGTGATAGCTTGCTTCAAGGTGTGGTTTTAGCCAACTGGCTAAAACATTTAAATATTAAATTACTCTGTCTTTTTATATTCTGGAGGATCTGCAGAGTTCATATGTAAGTTTAAACTACTGCAATGTTAAAGTAATGATCTATAGCAGACCTCAGTCAAAAACTGAAGTATGAAAGCAGCTTCCAGAACTGGGATTTGTGTCACAAAGGCTAAGACTTAGTAGTGTTAAAAAAAATACTAGGAGAGGAAGAGGTTAAAAAATTTGGACTACTGACTGCATGTGTATTTTTACATGTAGTATGATATACATATATAAATGTAAACATACACATATATCAAGTTTATTTTTATAATTCTGCTAATCTTGTAATAAAGGTAAAGAGGAGAGAAAGCTTTTTTGAGCCCGGCTTATGTAATGCACAGGTGTCCTAGGCAGTACCCAGCTCCACTATGGGAAGTGATGTGCTGCTTTATTCTTACCTGAGGACTCAGGAGAAAGCTTCTTCAGGATTAGAGATGAATTTTGATGACAGCAGAGGAAGAGATCTTCTCTTCCACAAGTCTATCAAGAGTCACTAACTTCAATCTTCTGCTCCAAAGAGAACGAAAAAAAAACCCCAACCCAAAAACAGTCCCCCCCCAAAAAAAACCCATACACAAAAAAAAAAACCAAAACAAAAAACACATAGAAGAGAGAATAAATGTAATAGAATCCTTCTTACTTTCTGCTTTGCAATGGGATTCTGCCCTATGCCTAGGGGAAGGAGGTAGGACAGCAGCGAATAATGGCTTTGGCTATTTCAGGTGTTTAAAATACTGATTTAAATTTAAAATATATGTGTGTGCTCGTTCTGTTGTTTACAGCTCCTTTTCCCTGCCATGATTCTTCCCTGTGGGTTGCGTACCTACCTTTATCCTACCCTTTTTTCTGTCTTAGGAAGTACTGGTACTCTGCAACTTGCCATCCTCTTTGGAACAGACTGGTGGCCATCTTAATGTGAAGACACAAACTGAAGCAGCAGTTTGTTGATATCTTGACAGATTCATAGTCAAAGTTCACTAAAAATACTGGAAGGAGATCATGATGAATAATGTAGGAAAGATCTACTGAGTCTGGGAAAGATTTTGAATGAGGGTGGGCAGTTAAGGAGCAGTTTTCTAGGGACCTGTATTAAAATTAGCTGTTACATTCTTACTTGTGAAAATTTTTCTGTATTATCTTAAACTGGTTTTGAAATTGCAGTGAGTTAAAAACCATCCATCGTTACTGAATCTTTTGTTAGAGGAGATCTGAAAAAGCAAATGATCTTGATTTCTTCGTAGCTTTCATGGACCTCTCTTTAGGTAGCTTTCTCCCCCCTTGTTGTGAAATAGAACAGGTATGAAATTTCTCAGATTTTTCTAAAGGTAAAATGTAAATGTAGAACAGGGTGTGCTGTTAGCAACAAAGACATTTTACTGTAACCTTAATAAGGATTTAAAGCAATATTGCACAAGGTGCAAATTGGCATCTCAAGAATTTTTTTGTATTTCTAATTACTAAAAATCATATCCGAATTAGTTTACCAATGTATTGCTGAAACATGGTGTAGACATTGTGCATTATGATATTGTTTAGCATGTAATCCTGAGATTATCGTGCAAAGTAATGTTGATGGTTGTTTAAAGCAACTGAAATGAAATGATGTCCAGCTATTAGCATAAGTAAGCATTTGAAGAAGTAAACATCCTTAATTTCATGTTTTGGAATGTCTTTCAAGTTTAAGCTTAAAACACAGCATAGAGATGCTAATTAAATTTGTTTATTGAAATGAAAAGTTTCCCGATGAAGAACAAAGGTTATGACCTATTTATTGTTACTAGAAAAGATTGTGTTGTTAGAAAACGTCCTTAGCAGCAATTTCAAGATGAAAATTTTACTTATTAAAAGGTAGATAGATGAAATTACTGTGATCTCAGTGTAGTGCAGTTGATTTTAAAAAATTTTAACTGATTTTACCTCTTTATTTGTGTGTTGTAGATTTTTGCCATTTAAATGCTAACTTTGAAAAATACTATTCTGGATTTTAAGGGATTTGCTTGTAAGTTAATAATGTCTCAACTTTTAAGCAGTGAGATACTTTTATAGGATCATATGGTTTTGTTAGTTTTTGAGTGACAGCAAAACATTAAATGGCAGTTTAACTTCTTTATGTTAGACGCTACGTACTTTCATCTTTAAATAAAAAAACCCCTCGCATACTCTAATTCTTGTTTCCTTAAAACATATTTTTCTTAGCAGAATTCTATGGTTTGTATTTTATAACACTGTTGCACTTTGTATTTTTCAGTCCCAGAAATCCTGGATAGAAAATACTTTCACGAAGAGGGAGTGTGTGTATATTATACCAAGTTCAAAAGACCCCCACAGGTAAATGAGAAACGATACAAGAACCCATTGCTGCTCTTCAAAATTAAAAAAAGTCAGTATTGAAAAGAGATAACATATGTATATATATATGTTTTTGGACTAATTACTTATCTTTATAAAGTACTTTCTTTGGTAAGTGATAGTAGTGATACTCGTAGAGTTTATTATCACTAAGTGTTAGGGGTATAATTTAGGAGTTCCTGCAATGATGGAATTTGGCGTCACAGGTTCAATAAAGTGAAATTGAAAATAGATCCAAATAAATTCAAAATTTGTATTTTAAAGCGTTTTTGTCTTCCCACACTGTTTAGTAATGTCATTAGGGATTTCAGATCAGGTTTTTTTTAGCTTGATTTATATTTGAGAGCTGAGAAACATTTTTTTGCTGCACTTCAGAAAACTTCTTTTTCACTTTTTCCCCCCCAAAAAAGTTACAAATATCTTCTGTTGGGGCAGTGTAATATTTTATTAAGTTTGTTTTTAGGCAGAAAAAGAACAAAGTAAATGCTGTCGAATTTTACTTATTGTAAATAATTCACCGCATTCCTTGAAACCATGTGACATTAGAAGCTGTTAAAATTTACAGCTGTGATTGTAGAACATGGAAAGTTTGCAAATGCAAACAAAGTAATTAGCAAGCTGTTAGAATTTCCACAAGGAACAAAATAATCTTTAACACTTGCCTTTTTAGTTTAACCCATTTTAGCATGCAATAGACTTTACAACTTTCCCGTCAGATCTTGTCCTTCCGTTTCTAAGAATCGCTTACCATTGTTTGTGAATTACGTGTAAATGAATCAGATGTAGAGAGGAATATTTGATGTGTTTTGTTGATCTGTACCTTTTAGTATAGATAATTACAATTTAATAAGTGTTAGAGTTAAAACTATAGTTCATTATTAAAAATGTAGATGATTTATAGCAGTGTGACTTCTATAGGGGACAAAATTTAAAACCTGATTACGCTCAAAGTCTGGAAACAGTTTAAAGACTACTGTGGGATATCTGTATTCGTATGTTTTCGCATACCAGCTCTTAACCATAATTGGTTTTCATCTGCTTATAAAAATTATAGAGAATGGTGGTATAAATTTCTCTGCTATGCTAATTTTAAATGTTAGGAAAACTCACAGCAGGAAAACATGGAAAATATTTAAGATGGAAGAGAGTACAAATTATATATAGACTTTCTGTGAAGACACTACTGTATAAGTTTTGTTCAAATATATCTCTTTCTGTACATGAAACTGAAAAATGACCAAATAACCTTCCCACACAGGCAGCTCAACTTAGATGTATATTAGAAGGATCAATTTGTAGTACAGATGCAGCAATGTACAGTTAGAATGAGGCCAAGAAAATGCTGGTCTGTAAGTAACTTCTCAGCATCTAGCAAAATGTTTCAGTGAGAGTACTGCAGATAATTCAGCCTGAAATATTCCTGGGCTTCTGATAATGATGGGTAAAAGCCTGAAAGCCCATCTGAAGTCTCAGGATTGAAGTTTTTGCACGTTCATGCATTTTTAGTTTCCAAATATACTATAGTTATGTACAGTAAAAATAGACAAGTTACCATGTTAAAAATGGGCAAACTTGGGCAGAATATTTTCAGTTTACTGCAGATCGCTTTTGTTCAGTAATCTTCATGTAAATGTATTAAGTGGTGTGAGTGGTTGTGCGTTGTGTCCCCCCTTAATACAGAACCTGCAGTTTCCTCATATCTTTAAATATTTTTTACAGATGCCTTCCAGGATGTCAGATTTGTCAGCAGCTTGTCAGGTAAGAGTTCTTTGTAATAACAATATTTATGAATATTTTTTTCCATTAAATAAGCACTTTCAATAGGGTTTTAAAAAGTTTTGGTCAATATTGCGAATGACAAGTCGGTGAAAGGTTGGATATAAACCAAATACAACTAATGAATAAAGAACTCTCTGCAATACATAGATCACAGCTTTATAAATGTTGTATAAATTATTTGGCTTCAAAGAATGTTTCATCTGGCCTCCAGCTTGCTATCTCAGTGAGCTTCAATACTTTGCATAATAATTGTAATTAATTCTTGCTATAAATATGGCAACAAGGCTTGCTCTGGGAAAGAGTTTTATGTAATATTTAGAATCTTCGCTTTCTAAATCTGGTGTATCTGTTATAGATGAAAGAAGTTATTCTCTTTTTTTTTTCCCCCCTAATAATAGTAATTACTCAAGTATTCTAAATGATATGGTTGGGTGCAGGTGCTGTTGTGGTCGCTTGGTCAGACAACATGCTTGTTTTACTGCAAGTCTTGCTATGAAATACTCCGATGTGAAGCTGGGTGAAAACTATAATCAGGAAATAGAAGAATGGTCAGTGGAAAAACATACAGAACAGACCTCTACTGATGCTTACGGTGTCATCAACTTTCAAGGTGGCTCTCATTCTTACAGGGCTAAGGCATGTATGATGTTTTCTTTTTTCTTGCTCTAAGCATGTTGATAGAGGTGGTGTATGCTTCATTCAACTTTTTTGAAATTGAAGGCTGAAAACAATATCACCCATATTGTGACAAACCAGTACCCTCTTCTGTTCTAGTATTTTTTATTGTGATCTGAATTATTTTCTATTTCCATTTTAAAAACTTTCTCTTTCATAACAAGTTGCTCAGATCTATTGGAATTAGTTGTATTCATGTACAGACTTACCCTCAAATTGCAAATGGTGATAAGAATTTATAATCACTTCAGCAAAAGATTACATTAAGAATTCAGTGTCACTGTTTCAGGCTTCATGAAAATACAGCTTACTCATCTGTGCAGCTTGCTTCCTACTATGAAATTTTTGTAGCACGTGTTAGGTGACATCTGCTATCTTAACCTTCTAGTCATCTTTTTAAAACTCTGAAAAATAATTTAAAATTATGGGCAGATGTGGAATATGCTTCTTTAGTAGACATGGTCAAAATGATTAAGGCATAATTGTACTAATCAGAGTAACTTAAGATTTTTGGGAGAGGGGCTTAGTTAAAAACAAGCATACCAATAAACCAAAACTTTGAAAACCAACTCTTAATTCACAGACAACTGGGAATTCTGAATCCTTCTCCACAACCATGCTTCTACAGTTATAAGCTGCAAGGGGTTTGATGCAGTGCGGCTCCTATGGCAAAAACAGAGCGCTTGAGGGAGGGAGCTGTGTTCTTTATGTAGCCAGCAGAGTCCCCAAGGATGGTCTAGTGGTCTAGGTCAGATCATCTCTGTGGAGAGAAGGGCTCTTCACAGAGGTGTTTCATGTTCGTAATAGCAGTGTATGAGTTTGTTGTATGCTTAGTATAGCTTAAAATTGCTGCAAATCCTTTTCTAGCAGTACAGAAATAGCGAGCTGCCTGTACTCATGTCTGTGCTTCTGCAGGGTGCTAGTGGGGTTTTTCAGACCAGTGTATTGGAATAGTGACTTGTTTTAAATTAGAACTTGATTCAAGTAGGACTTAATATCTGTGTAATGTCCTCTCCTGTATTGAATAGCATCATGCTAAACGTGCAGCAGTATTTTTAACTGTTCATTCAACTACCCTAATCTTCCGCTGTTAAACACAGTGAGTTAAAAAGCTGCTAGTTTTGAAGTTTTCTATTGAAGAGTGTAGCTTTCCTTCCCACCAGGAATAGGGAAGAAAAAGCAAGCAACTGTCTTTCTGTAAAACTTTTTGCAGGGGACATGCAAGCCTCTCCCCAGTAGATGGCATAACTTTTATAAATATTTCTGAATTGCGTCTAATTTAGAGACCATCCAGTGCTTTCGTGAAACCTTATTTTTCTAGGTCACTGTGCCAGTAGGATGGAATAACGTAATCTTCCTGTAGTCATTCCCTTTCCAAAAACTTGCTTTCAGAACTGTTAACTGTCTTGTCCTTAATTCTGCGGGATATAAAGTAAGCTTGTTCATTTATTACATCTGCCCTGTTTTGAGAATGCGAATTACATTTCCATCGTCAGGAATAGGATAATATATCCGGAAATGCATCCTGGTTCTTTTTTTTTACACACTGATCCTGTGATGATTTAAGAACCTTTTAACTCTCTTTTTGTGCCTGCAGTATGTGCGATTGTCGTATGACACTAAGCCTGAAGCTATTCTGCAACTTATGCTTAAAGAATGGCAGATGGAGTTGCCAAAGCTTGTTATATCTGTACATGGGGGCATGCAGAAATTTGAACTTCACCCACGCATCAAACAGTTGCTTGGCAAAGGTCTCATTAAAGCTGCAGTAACAACAGGAGCCTGGATTATAACTGGAGGAGTGAACACAGGTAAAGAACTACCAATGAATGTGCACAGTTAAGTAGACTACAGTTTATAAGAGCCTAAGTTTTAATGGATGCATAGCTTCATCTTAAAGCAAAGTAAATTTGTGTGCGTTTGGTCAAGTGAAATTAAAATAATACGTTTTGAACACGTGTAGTTGGAAGTAGGCTGCTGTTTTGTAAAGAGAAATGACACAAAGGTGGAAGGTTGGGTTTTGGGGGGGATTTTGGTTTTTTGTTTGGGAGGTAGTTTTGTTTGTTTTTGAAACTGCAAGAGGAGAAACTTAATGCAATTAAACCAAGTACTGTAATGTACTGGAAAGTGTTTCTTTCTCACTAGGCTAATGTTTATTTGGTTTAGTTGCTGATACATAGTATCAGTACTTTGTTTCTTTCTAGTAGCTGTAGTATGGTACTTTTTCCTTCGTAATGTGTCAAATAAGTTCCCAGATCCTTAAAGGCCCAGTTAACTAGTAAAACAGTTGTATCTTAGTAAGATGTGGCATTCAATATATTGAAATCTGTTTGTGTACAAACAGGTGTTGCAAAACATGTTGGTGATGCTTTAAGAGAACATGCTTCCAGATCATCTCGAAAGATTTGCACTATTGGGATTGCTCCGTGGGGAGTGATTGAAAACAGAAATGACCTTGTTGGAAGAGATGTAAGGATAAATTACCTAATTAAAATAACGATTTACTTACTTTTTGACAAATCTGCTCAAGCGTGTGTTTTCACTTGCTCTGCATCATTGGAATAATTGCTTTACTATGAGGATACATTGACATCTGAGAGTTATGCAAGATCATCAGTGTAAACAAGTTGCAAAATGCAAATGCACTAGAGGAGGAGATTGTTTTCAAGTACTTAATCCTTCTTCCCTCCTCTCTGATATTACTGAATCAAGCAACAAAAATGCTAATGTGTTACAGAGAATTCACTTTTGTGTAGGATAAGTTGAAAAATTTGATGCAGAATCTTCAATGCTACTTTAGGGGAAAAACAGCCACAGGTTCTCCCTGAAGGTCTCTTTTCAAAGGATCTTTTCTCTGTTATTCTTCTGAAGAGAGTCCTTTTGTGATTGTTACCTGCTTTCCTGCGCAAAGTTAAGACCAACAGCTGTTGGTGTATCCTGACCCAAGGCATGCTTGTATGTGCTGCTTATTAAGCCACCAATTCTTGTGTCTAGACAAAAGGTGAAGTTTCACAGAAACAGACATGAATTTTTACAAGTAAATAACATTGTTGTGTGCTTATACTTAGGTGGTTGCTCCATATCAAACCTTGTTAAACCCATTAAGTAAACTGAATGTCCTAAATAACCTCCATTCCCATTTCATTCTGGTGGATGATGGAACAGTTGGAAAGTATGGGGCAGAAGTTAAATTGCGGAGAGAACTGGAAAAAACTATTAATTTGCAACGGATCCATGCAAGTAAGTAATTCTGATGCCTGAGGGCTGAGTGTTACTGTGCTTTAAGGAAGAAGATACTTCCACCAAAGACCTGAATGAGAAAATAGAAAAATCAGTCTATTGTTTCAAGTCTGAATGACTATTTGCAAATTTCAACTGCTGCTTTGGACCCTGGATATTGTTGGTAGATTTGAGATTTCTCTGGGACCAGTGAGAAGAGTTCTTTTGAATAAAGTTGTCAATTTTGCTTTGATAAAGCAAATGTACGTCACTGGACTTGTTAGTATGTTGCCAGGACAGAGTGGTCTGATTGATTCGTGGTTTTGACACTGATGACTTGCAGTTTCACAACAGGGCAATTAAGTTTGTAAAACATCATCTGTGTTTGTGCAAAGAAACTGTGACTTGGTGTGTTCCTGATTATGGAGCAATTTTTTTTTTCCTCTTCTAGGAATGCTTTTGCAATACTCCCTGTCAGTAGAGGGTTTCCATATAACTGTGCAAATTGTATGCATGTTGTCATCTTTGGAAACTGTTTGTGGGGAAGGTAGAAGGGGAGTTCCCTGAAGAAAAATGTTCACTTTTCTGCATAACCTCAGGAATATGAATATCTATGAATAATCTCTTCTGTTTTGTAGACTGTATTCCATTGTATTTATCAGCTTCTTTACAATATTTTTTCCTCAGCCCAAGGTATAAACAGTGCTTGAAGCTGTGCATTAGCACCAGCTGAAATGTCTGGCAGGCAGCATTTTAATTTTTATTCAATCAAAGGGGGACATTTGATTTATTAAATGTGTAGAATCAATCTTAGCATTTCTGATATACTTGCAACATTGCCTGTTTTTTATTATTTATTTGCAACTTTATAGGAATTGGCCAAGGTGTGCCTGTGGTGGCACTTGTATTTGAAGGTGGCCCCAATGTCATACTCACGGTTTTAGACTTCCTTCAAGAGAGTCCTCCAGTGCCAGTGGTAGTCTGTGAAGGAACTGGTAGAGCTGCAGATATATTGGCGTATGTTCACAAGCAGACAGAGGAGGGAGGGTAAGTCCTATCTAAATATGGACTATCAGTCATGTGCAGATGGCTTTTGAGACCATTCCTGAATGAATTTATAAAAGTGCTTTTTCTGTGGAAGGACAAAGGCTGAAAGCAGAGTGTAACCTTGCTTGTGATGCAGCTTTCTAGGTTGGCTGCAATAATAGCTGTGGCTGAAGACCAAGACTTATAGTTCTAGGTTCCTCCCACGTGCTTTGTACCAGTTGTGCCAAATTCTGTAGCATATGATTGCTTGAGCAATACTTACAAAAAGGATGGGAAAAGTCTACACACCTGCATCCTAAATTAGGGGAAGCATCTCGTGTTTAACTTCAATTATGTGCAATGGTTTTGTTACACCATTGTAACTAGAGGACCCAACTGGCACTTTTAAATGCTCTGCTTCAAATTTTAACTAGGCCACAGTAACTTAAACGATAAATGTGACTGTTAAGTGTGCACAACAGAGTTTTACTCAACCCAAGGCAGAGCTGACCAGACCTTCCAGACGTGTGAGAATAACACGTGTGAGAGTGGTATATTACCAAACTGCTTGAAGATACTGCTGGACTACATTGAATATTTTCATGCAGTTAGCTGTTGCATAGTAGTAACTTTCCTGAAAAGGGATCTGTTCTGGTTTAACCACAGCTGTTTGCTCACTCCCCCACCAGTGGGATGGGGAAGAGAATTGGAAGGGTAAAAGACAGCTCGTTGGGTTGAGATAAAGACAGTTTAATAGGTAAACCTCACATGCAAGCAAAGCAAACCAAGGAACTCACTCACCACTTCCCATCATCAGGCAGGCGTTCAGCCATCTGCAGGAAAGTGGGGCTCCAAACATCATCACTCTGAACATCCTGCCCCTTCTTCCTCCTTCCTCCAGTTTTGTATGCTGAGCACAGCATCATATGGTGTAGAATATCCCTTTGGTCAGTTGGGGTCAGCTGTCCTGGCTGTCTCCTCTCCTAATTCCTTGTGCACCCCCAGCCTACTTGTTGGTAAGGTGGTGTGAGGAGCAGAAAAGGCCTTGGCTGTGTAAGCACTGCTCAGCACTAGAAAAACATCTCTGTGTTACCAATGCTGTTTCCAGCACAGATCCAAAACACAGCCCCACACCAGCTACTATGAAGAAAATTAACTCTAACCCAGCCAAAACCAGCACAGGATCAGGAAGAGTTTCGATATTGTCTCTTTGAGTAGTCTTAAAGCTGGACTTTATACACATTGCTGTTTAGTGTAGAGAACAGTTGACTGCTTTAAGCATAGTTTCAAGTAATAAAAGCGATGTGCTTAGGCTCCACAATACTTAGCGATTTCTACTTGGTTGTGAGACTTGCATAAATCCTTAAACATATTGGGTCCTTGTTGCAGGGGTTGCCTTGGAACCAGGAGGCAGGGATCATGTAGCAGTAAACCAAACAGCTTTGTCCATAGTAAGATCAGGAGCAGGTCATATTCATCAGAGCAGTGAGTACTTAATATTTTGTGTCAATATCTTTTAGTTGTGAATTATCTCAGAACCAGGTGTGCGAAGGAAGGGCAAAGAAACTGAGTTACTTCTTTAAGGTAGTAATAGAAAGTTGTAGGTCGAGCAACCTATATTTGTGTCTAAAGGTTACCCAAGATTTTGCCACTGAACCAGTAATAAGCTTATAGATACCAGGACTTCGAATGGACATGTTGCAGCTAGTTGCATGTGGTAGTGTTCTTACTGTTCATGTATAACAGTGTGTTTTCCTGTTTGTTTGTTGCAATCTCAGGAATGTTCCTGAGGGTGCTGAGCCTGAAATCATTTCAACCATCAAGAAGACGTTTAACTTTGGTCAGAGTGAAGCAGTTCACTTGTTTCAGACACTGCTGGAATGCATGAAAAAAAAAGAACTTGTAAGTAGATCTTGGCATTTGTGGGTATAATAGTAAATTGTGTTACAGTGTTGTATATGATTAAGAGTAATTCAGAAAATCCTTTCTGGACATAGTGGATCTTCCAGTTATAGAAGATAGACAAATACAATTTTCATGTATACTTTTGTCTCATGGCTAAGAGAGACTTAATTCTTGCCATTATTGCTGGCACTCTGAGTTTGTTGTTTCCAAGCCAGTTTGCTTTCATATGACAGGATTCTGGTTTGTTACAGTGTGTATGCATTTTGTATTTGGGTTGCTGGTTTTTTTTTTTTGTTCTTTTTCCTTGCTTTGTTTTTTGTTCCCTGAAGATGAAGGGTTGTTTTCAAAAGGGGACTTTTTTTGCCCCCCCCCCCCCCCCCCCCCTTTTTTTCCTAATGTATCTTTTAATTATGTCTGTACTGCGACTGCTAACTTAAAGCAAAAACACTTTATAGAGGTTTATATGTAGCCTGATTTCAGGTACTGGTTTTCATTTGGACATCATGTTGTGCTGTTTTGAGGTTTAAAATTGTCGTATTTGGCTGAACATGTTTGCTGGCAGGTTAATCTCATAATCTAGAATGAAGTGGAGGGGTGAACAGTACTGTGTGGTATTTATAGACAATAGAAAATTGTAATTTTAGTGGGAAAAGATGTTTGATTGAAGAGTGTAAAGGGCTTCTGCTGTGTTTTTACTCGTAAAGGATTGCCTTGTGTGGCACGCAGTTAGGAAAACAAAACAAGTGCTCACTAAAGCTAGGTTTAAATCAGGCATAGGTTTAAATTGCATCAAAGATAAGGTGACTTGTTAATGTGTTTCAGTTCCTGACATAAAAGACTGGAGCCAATCACCTTTGCCTGAAAATAACTTTAAAAATATGTTTTCCCAATTTTACTCTTTTGGACAGATCACAGTTTTTCATATTGGGTCAGATGAACACCAGGACATTGATGTTGCAATACTTACAGCGTTGTTAAAAGGTGAGACTTTTAATTTTAAAAGCTATTATTGTTCAGTGTTTATATGATGGAGTATTTAGAAAATACTATATTCTATAGAAATCTTCGATTTTTAAGCAAATAGTTACCTACTATGTTTTCATGTTGTATAATACCCTACTGTGTCATAAATAATGAAATACACTGTATAGCTTTGTGGTGGATTGCTTGATTTGGCCTTTTTAGGAAAAAAAAGAAGTTTATTATTTTGCATTTTAATTATTTTTTTTCTCTCATTGTTTTTGCTTCTTAAGGCACGAATGCATCTGCATTTGACCAGCTTGTTCTTACACTTGCGTGGGATAGAGTTGACATAGCCAAAAATCATGTTTTTGTTTATGGGCAGCAATGGCTGGTATGTAATGGCTGGGTTTAAGCACAATGGTGTTTTCTAAAAGAGAGAAACTCAGTTTACTGTAAAGAATGAATCTTTTTACTTTTGTAAAGAGAGACTGCAGAATACTGACACGTTTATTTTGAGGACAGTAATTACTGCATACTGCACAGTCCTGCAGCTGTTTTGTTATTGTGTATTGAAAATGGTCCAAAAATCTTAGAAATGTGCTAAATGTTCTGGATAACTAAGGGCGAAAAAACATTGCAAAAGGTGGAAGCTGAATTCATATTGGTCAGATGCTCTTTCTTCCTTACAATTGCATCGTCATAGGAAGTTCTTAAGAAGCATCTAGCGAAATGCTCTGTTGGCAGCACTGCAGTGTCTTTTGAAGGGGAGGACAAAATGTCTCTTTCTTGTAGTCTGCAAATTACATTGTGCATCTTGCCTTTTTCCCATATTACTGTAAAAATAAAACGCAATCTTAGACGAGTGCGCAGTCAAAAGTCAAAACAAACTATAAGGTTTGTTGGAAGCAGTGATGGTTCTGAGCATTTGTCTCTGAAGCAAATTGGGCTTTAAATATTTTACGTATTTTTGTTTTATCCGGTATCAATCTATGAGAACAGCTTAACTATGTTAAATCAAATGTCTACCTAGTCACATGTACTGTGTCAGTAGGAGATGCCAATGGGAGGAATATAAAACTTGCTGATTGAATCTTCAGAAGAATACTCTCTCATTCTGTAATTGTGTGAAGTTCAGGGGATTTTCTGAACCAAGGATGGCATCTTTGTAGTTCTTGACATACAAGGTTTCCCTAGCCCTTAAGTGAATGAGGTTGATCTCATAAGTGTAGTTTAAGTACGCTTAATTTTGTGATGCCCCATTTCGCTGGTTCTCTCCAGGCTCTACCTTGTTACTTATTTGTTGTAGGTTGGCTCTCTGGAACAGGCTATGTTAGATGCCCTTGTGATGGATAGAGTTGCATTTGTGAAACTTCTGATTGAAAACGGAGTAAGCATGCACAAATTTCTTACAATTCCCAGGCTGGAAGAACTTTATAACACAGTAAGTGAATGATTGCTTTTTAAACTACTTTTAGACAGCTTTTTAGTTGCTCGGTGTGCACCAGTCTGAAAGCCGTGGGGTGTTGGTAGTGAAGGCTCTCTCATATGAGGTTAGAGATGAGAAGTGTGTGCTGTCTGGCTGCTTTGTAGTGCCACAGCTGCTTTCTGGCTGTCCAGAAATGGTACCACAAATACAGTTTGTCAGCAGGATGTTCATCTGTGTTTGATGTTGGGGATGGATACAAAAGGAAAATTGCAGCCTTGTTCTAGAGCATACGAAATATGGAAATCACAGTGGGGAAGAGAATAAGAGGAAGTCAGATGGGTGAAACTTGTGCACAAAATATGAGGTCTATAGATAGTATAGAGTTTCATAAGATGAATTCTGTCTGTAGCAGCTGATATGAACATAATAGTTGTAAAAATAATTTATTTTTTGAACCTGCATAGTTACAAGTATTACTTAGAAAAAATTTTGTTGCTGTAGGTGTTGATTTAAGAATTTTAAGGTAGTTTTGTGTAACGTTAGCTACTTTTTGGTGAAAGGTTTTTTGTTTTGTTCTTTAGATGCTTAATGTGAGTAGTCCACAAATGGGACTCGGGCTTACATTAGCATTCTTATTATCTCCTTTTGAAGAGGAAAAAAAAAGGGAAAAAGGAAGTATTCTTTAGCTAATGAAGCTCTGTAAAGGAGCCCATGTGATCAGCTTTTGCTTTTTATTTTTAATTAACATTTTATGGTGTTGCTTTTACACATTTGATGTGCTTTTAAGTGAGTTCTGTATGGGAGTTAGGGTAACTATGTGTCAAAAAGTGTAACAGTTTGTGCACTCACAGGAAATCAGAGAAAGAAGAGAAATCTACTTTGTTAAAAAGAGGGAGTATTCAAACTAAAAATCTAAAAAGCAAGGGAGCTTTTACTATGAATCCTGCAACACTGTAAAGGTTAATATCAGTTTTTGTGTGTTCCTGTGAATTAAAATGTTTGTTTGTTAAAACTTGTCACTATAATATTACATTTTTTGGTAACATAAAAACCCCATAATGCTGCTGTTTGCATTCTGGTGGGATTTTTTTCCCTTTGTGGGCAAACTATGGGTGTATTAATTATGTCTCAAATTAAAATGGAAGTAAAATGCAACAAAAAGGGAAATAGTCTATAGCTAATACAGTCGTTTGAAATATTTGCATTTATTTGATGGCTACTGTTTGAAAACTAGGGGTTTTTTGGGTTTTTTTTTTTTTTTAGCCAACATGCAAAAATATTTGGCTTCTACTGTAATCTTCTCATGTTGTAATTGCACTCTAATTTCTCATTCCAAATTTCCCCCCCCCACTTTCTTTTTCTTTTTTCATAAAGAAACAAGGCCC